ACCAGTCCTCCAATTACACTGCACTCAGGTTCTCCTCTCAAGGATCCCACAGAGTATAGAACAATTGTTGGCAACTTACAATACTTACTGATCATATGGCCAGACATTGCCTTGGCTGTTAACAAGCTTTCTCAATACATGGATCAGCCAACCTCAGAACATTGGATTCTTGTGAAACGTCTCCTGCGTTATCTGTGTGGTTCCTCTAGTGATGGCATTCAACTTTACCATGATTCACCACTCTCTTTACATGCCTTTGCTGATGCAGACCCGCTCTCTCTACATGCCTTTTTTGATTCTGACTGGGCTGGCAACAAGGATGATTTCACATCTACTAGTGCCTATGTTGTTTATATTGGTCGTAATCCTATCTCATGGAGTTCCAAGAAGCAAAGAACAGTTGCTAGATCATCTACGGAGGCTGAATATAGGTCAGTAGCTGCCGCAGCTGCAGAGCTTAATTGGATAAGTTCTCTCTTGACAGAACTTGGTGTTGTTCATCTTCAATCACCTGTGATTTATTGCGACAATATTGGGGCAACCAACTTGTGTTCAAATCCAGTTTTTCACTCCAGGATGAAGCATGTTGCCATTGATTTTCATTTTATTCGTGAGCAAGTTCAAAATGGCACCTTACGTGTTTCTCATGTTTCAAGTGATGATCAGCTTGCTGATGCCCTTACAAAACCTCTTCCCAGGTCTCGGTTTCTTTCACTTAAATCCAAAATCAGTCTCGTCACACGACCCCAATCTTGAGGGGGCATATTAGAGAGTCTTCCAATTCCTTCTCATAAATTGTTGTAACTGCTTCTGCTTGTTTAATTTTTGAATTTGTATTTTAAGTTGCAGATGTACACTTATCTTTAGTGATAAGTTTCCAATCTGTTACAATCTTGAATTTGTATTTTAAGTTATAGATGTACACTTATCTTTAGTGATAAGTTTCCAATCTGTTACAATCTTGTGTATTTATATATTTGCTACCTTAATGAGAAGCCGTGTGGCATATTTCCTCTCCTTTGTTCCTTTGATTCTCTCATTTATTATATATAGGAATTCTTTTATTGGTTTATTTATTCACAAATTAAAAAAATAAAGAAACAAATTAAAACATAGTTGATATTTAAGAAAAACAAAATAAATTAAAAGCTGTGAAAATACTTCAATTTAAACTATTTTGATTAAATAAAATAAAGGCATATTAATGTTAAAATATAAGTAGAAGGATATAATTAGCATTTTTCTAAAGTCAGTGAAGGCATGAGCCCCCACTAAACCCTTAGCAGCTCTGTCCGTGATCATAGACCTCGTTTTTAGTTCTTATTTTGTATATAATTCAGAGTAGTAATTATGATCAATTTGATTGATTTTTATTTGCATGTAGAACACACGGAGTCCTTGATCGTATACCTCGTTTTTTGTTCTTATTTTTGGTATATAATTCAAACAGTAGTAATCATGATCCGTTTAATTGGTTTTTATTTTCATTTAAAGCACACAGAATGAAATCACGCTTTGATTTCTATTTTATTTTTTGGATTTGAGTGTAACATTAAGGTGTTACATTTTCTATCTGGCTAGTCATTATCTCTCACCTTCCTAATCACAAAATATAAATCTAATATAGAAATGGTACCAATGGGCTGTTAGTATAACCTCTCTAATGATTAATTCTACGGTATATATTTGAGAAATATATAGTGACTACTAAATCAGATTGTATATAATGTTGGATTAATGTTTTGATAAGAAATGTGATTTTATATGGAGTATAACCTTAATGGCATAATAATTTCTAAGTACAACCATTCTTTATTTTATATTTTTGTTCCAATTTTTAAACTTTAATTCTTACATAAACCCTAAACCTAAATTTTCTAAATCATTAAAACTTTTTTTTTAATTTCAAATCATTCTTTTTTTTTATGAAAATATATTTTAATGCTATGAAAAATTAATCACACAACGAGATGAATTTAAATCTGGATTTGAAGAAGAAAAAAGCAAGCTTCAAATTAGAAATTGGGAAAAAGGAGTATTAAAAAAAAAAAAAAAAACTAATTAAGAAATTGTGAAAAAGTGGTATAAATAGAAACCATGTTTAAGTTTGACATGGGAAAAAGAGGTGTAGCAAAAAACTCTAATTAAGTTTAAAATTATGAGGACAATGGGGTAAATAAAAACCCTAATTGAACATAATTAAGTAAGACTATTTTCGGTATTTAATAATTTAAATAGATTTTTTTCTTATAAATATAATATAGGTGTATTTAACAATAAGGGATAGTGATAGGGGTTAAAAATCACTTTCCTTAAATCTTCACCTTGAATCTTGTGTTTGGGCTTTATGGGAGCCCAAATTGATTATCTTTACCCAAATCTATTTAGGCCTTGGCCCTTTTCATTTTATCCCGACTATATCTACTTTTAGATTTATTTATATTCATTTTCATGGTTATAAAAGTAGAAATATAAATACAAAGAAAAATATGTTTAAATAAATCCAGTAAATTAATGAAAATATGGAAAAATATCTTTTAATAGAAAAAATTATAGAGTGAACCTAGACCAGATAACTATTTTTTCTTTAATTACAATTTTATTAATTTAAAAAATTACTAAATAAGACACAAAAGATGTTTAGTTGTTATTTAATTCAATAATATTTATCTTTTTCAAATTTTAGTGTACGATCATTTATATTTTAAATTTTTACAATTGATGTTACCTGAATATATTTTTAATATAAGCTCATGTTTACAATTATAATGTAGTTTTAATTATACCTAAATGTTTCTAAAGGATCATAAAGAAATTAGTAATTATTCTTTTAATTGCATAATGGAGAATACAGCATCTTTGTATTGTAAAATAAAATCAAAGATAGATGAATTCATACAAAATTATTTTCTAAACCTGTAAAAATATTTTTAAAAAAATTCGTTTCATGATTGGCTAAAAATCATGGACGAATAATATGTTCAAATCATGGATTTGAAAATTGTAATATGTGGACACTGGAAATATAAATAAAAGGGTTATTTTGGAAATAGGTGGAGTTTATATAGACATTTACACATATTTAAAAAAAAAAATTTATAGGTAAATTTTAAAATATTAATTAATTTTAATATTGAAATCAAAGCATCTAGAAATTTTGGAACCAACTAGAAATTCAAGTCAAATTTATTTATAAGCAGAAGGAATATTATAATAAACCTTATAATTACGATAATATATCTTCTTAAAAATAGAGATTTTTTTTCAATATAATAAAAATATTTGGAAAATTATTTTAACAACAACAAAAGTGGTTTGAAATCTTGAAGATGAAACAAGCCACAACAATGAATTAAAATAATGATTATAAGAATTAATCATTTTCATCTCTGAACATAATATTCGAAACAAGAAGCATAAAAAAAAAAAAAAAATGGTATTTTTGGAATTAGATGGGGTTTATAAAAATATTTGTATATGCTAAAATATTTTAGTGCTGTAAACTTAAAAGTGGTGTCTTAGATCTAGAATATGATAGAGATGGTGGAAAGAAAAAGAGAGAAGAAAAGGAAAAAGAGGCTGGCTAGGCTAGCGGAAGAAATATTGTTTCTGGGTTGTTGAATAATGAATATGAATATGGTTTATGCATAAATTTATTCCTATAAAGACTTGCATGAGTTTAATTAAAAGCACTAATTTAAGAAATTATAATTTTGTTATGACAGTGAGGTTTCGATTAGTGTTTGGCTTTTGAATTTGTTGTTCTTGTTCCAAAATTTGGCACCTTTGTAAAAGGCTGGACTGAAGATGAAGAAAAGGAAGAAGAAGAGAGAGAGAGTGGAAAGAATGTTTCTTTATGCTTTAATTTATTCCATAAAGAGATTTTTAGTTGATTTTTATTTTTTTAATTTCTTGATTTATAATGTCTAAACGGCCATATCGAAGCCTCCTAGTGAATCTCATAAGTTTTTAGGGACTTCGACGAGTTTCTGGCAGTGGTCCGTGGTGGTTGGCTCGCTGTCGGCGGTGGTGGCTGGGTGGCGGTTTGTAATTTGTTTTAAATATATAAGGGCATTATTATCCAAAAACTTAATTAAACAAGGGTAAAATTAAAATGACATATTAATGTAAATTTATTTTAAAATAGGGGCATTATTGTCCAAAATTTTTATTAATAAGGGATAGAATTGTAACAAAAATAAGATTATCAAAGTAACCTTATAATACCTAAGAAGATGGAGGTAATCAGATTACCTCCAATATTACCAACAGTAACAACTATTGGTAATACAAGATTACCGGAATCTTATATTACTTGATAACCAAACATGTTAATCAAGTAATATAAGATGACATAACCCTAGTAATCTTCTATTACCTCCAACTAAACGCCCAATAAAGGCAAAGTAAGGGCTTTACGATGAAAACATGTATAGTTTCTCGTAAAATAAGGAGTAAATTACTTTTTTTTATACTATTTTATTACATAAATTTATATTCCAGTTTCTATTCCGGTGTCGCTGCGACCCTATACCACTATCATTCTCTTTCTTAATCATCATTCACCAAAACCCTTTAAACCATACTTTCACCGATTCTGTCAATCGTTGACAATTGAGCGATTAGGGTTTGTGCAGTTACCCCTCTCAAGTTAAATTCTGATCAATTCAAACTATTAAAATTTAACATTCTACCACCAAAAGACTGATCGATATTTTGTTTTAAAAAACTTTAACAATTTGAATTGGGTTTGCTCTTTGTTTGTTATTGGAACATAAGTTTAAGTAGTAAAATAGTATTTTAAAAGTTTATGAGTGAGAAAGTGTTATTAAATTATTATTTGGACGAGAAAAAGTCGTTTAACTCGTAAAATAAGACTTTTCGGAACCGGGAGAGACAAACTGATTATCCCTCAATAAAAATGTTCTGTGGCATAAGTTTACGATAAAAATGTCCTCTAATTGATAATACGCTTTTTAAATATATTTGTACGAATAAAACTTCTGTCTGGAGTTTGGAGTTTGGAAAACATAGGTTGCGCTGCCTGCCAACAACTTTTGGCCACGTCATCACCATTGGCGGGCCACGTGACGTAGCCCACCTTCTTCCTCTTAAACCCCATATGCTTGAATCATAAAGAGAAAGAGAGTCGGCAGGTACACTGAAATTACAAAACAAAAACCGCTGCGATTTGTTTTAGGTACATTCCAGAAGCCAACACCAAGAACCGAAAACATAAACCAAATCTAAGATCTCTTCTGGGTTTTGAAGATTCAATCACATGGTGAGATTTCCTTTCTTTTTTTTTTTAGACTTGATCATTTCTTCCTTCTTGCGATTTTCATTAGGGTTATAACGCCGCCACTTTCTGATCCAATTAGTTCATGGTCTGTATTTTCTGGGTTTTTTTCTTTATTTTTTTCATAACATGTTGGATTTGATATGGGAAGTTTGCGTTTATTTGGCAAGTCGATGGAGAAGAGATGAATTTTATTTTTATTTTTTTTAATGTAATTTTGGTTCAGGTTTTATTTTTGATTGACTATGGAGTTCTTTGTATCATGGGTTAGCTGCTAAAATTTGCTTCTGTTGTAGGATACGGCGAAGAAGAGCGTTGTGCTTGTCTTTACAGACGATCAAGCTTTTTGTGTGAGTTCGATTTTTAATGCAACGAGAGAGCTCAGGGATGAAGCAGAGGAATACTGTGATCCTCACATTATCACTGAAGCATCTTCAATAAGTACTTTTTCCAATCTTCTTTTGGGTTTCATTTTCATATTTTCATTATGTTTTTAATTCAATTCAATCCTTTTTTGTATGCAATGTTTATTGTTCAATGTTTAAGGGTGACAAAGAATTTGAAAGAGAAAGTCCCATTTCATTGGAACTAGACAAAACAATTGAAGAATCAAGAATTTCAATTGTTGTTTTCTCTAAAAGTTATGCTTCTTCTATCCAATGTTTGGATGAGCTTGTTAAGATTCTTGAATGTATGCACACAATGAGACAAACAGTCATTCCCATTTTCTATGAGGTGGAGCCATACGAGCCAAGACATCAAATAGGAGTGTTTCAAGAAGCATTTGTTGATCATGAAGAACGTTTTGAGATGGATACAGAGAAAGTGCAAATGTGGAGGAAGACTTTAAAAGAGGCGTCCAATCTCTCTGGATTTCACTTGAAGGACAGGTAAATATTCTTTATTGTTGTATACTATAAGTTTACCGTAAAGATCATGTAGAGTAGAGAGGCTAATTAGTACAGCACAAGTATGATCACTTCAAGAAGTGTATGTGTAATATATAGTGGAGATATGGGAGGTGTAAATGTAAGGGAGAACGACATTTTCCCACCCGTTAAGTTTCAAAACGACACTTTCCCACCCACCGTTACATTCCATTAAGGAAAACCGTTCTGAATAAAGGCCAAATGGTCAATTTACATGAAAGCTGCAGAAGTCAAAATTTAAAAATTGAAACATGGTTCATGTAACTTTTCCCTTTTTCGTTTCTTTTCCTTCTATTTTTTTCTTTTTCTTTTTTTCTTATCATTTTTTCGCCATCACCTCTTCCTTCTACGCTGGAGGCTGTGACGCCGGCCTAACCTGCAACCACCAGCTGGATTGGCAGCGTAGCAACCTTCAACCACAAGTTGGTCCAGTTGCGATGCCACCAACCCAACTCGCANTTGTTTAAGTGTTTAGCTTTATGTATAAAGTGTTTACATCATTTTCAATACATTGGCTTGTGAAGCCGTCTTCTATTTTTCTCGGATAAGATCTGAAGGAAAATATCATATATGGACTGACCCCACTTATTTGTTTATTGGTGTTTTTTCTCCTTTTTTTTTATTATTTTTTATAATCATTCAAAAACTCGTATATTGAGAGTTGAGACTTCCTGTTTCAACCACGATAAGAAGAAATTTAACAACCCACCATTGGTTGCGAACTTTTGACGATCAGGGTTGTTCTTTGATTTAGATTTCGATTTGGGAACTGTGGTGCATATTTTGTGTAGCTGTAAAGATTGTTAAATCAAAAGATATAGCTTTATTTTTCTTTTTTAGGATTTGTGGAGGCCACAAGATAGAGGCGTTGGCCGTTGAGACGGAAAGAAGAGAAAGAGATTAGTGGGGTCGAAGATATTTTATGTGGTGAGTTTTTTTATTGGATTTAAACAAATATAATTGTGGTTTCTGTGTGTGTTAAAGTCGTAATTATACGAGTGAACAAACGCAAGTTGTGTTTTGTCTGTTTTTGTGAATTGTGAGTTTGTGACGTGCATGATTTGTCATGTATTGCCGGCAATCTTGTTGGTGGTGGGGATTATTTTTACTGTGAATGGTCATTGGAGCAAAGACTTTACCTTTTGGGCTAATTTATTTGCTTGGTGATGGGGTGTTGCAGGTATGAAATTAAGTATATAACTCATCAATTGTTTTGTTGCTGTTGTTTGTTGGGTAAATTAAGTTTCTGAAAACAGTGACCATTTTGCTCAGCTTTGGATAGCCGAAATTTTGTTTTTGTTTTTTATTTTCTTTTTTCTTAAATTAAGTTTCTGCAGGGGTGTGTTGTTTCTTGTTTGGACAGTGACCATTTTTCTCTGCTTTGGATATCCCCATTTTTTCTTTTAACTGAATATTTCTTGGGCTTGAACACTTTGGATTTTTTTTCCAGTATTTTCCCATCTTCTTATTCCTACTTTATCTCCTGTTTCTTCTTCTGGTTTGGTATTTGGTTCTTTCCTTTGCTTAGATGATCGCTATTTGTTTCTTATTTGAATTCCTACGGAATTTATGTATGGTTTCTCTTTTTCTGCTTGAGACTTTTGAGGCTTCTGCTTCTTCTTTCCCTTCTCCATATCCCTTTTTTACTTGGAGTTCTGTCCCTCAGAATATATATATTTAGTTTCAGTTGGTTTCTTTCAGTTTTTTCCCCAGCATGTCCTTCTGGGTATGGCTAGATCGGTAGTTTCTGCTGTTTGTTGGTATTTCAATGTTCAAATTACAGTTAATGAATAGGTCTGATCTCTGTTTATTGACATGGCTGCAGGGTTTCTATGCTCACATGACTCTCGCTTGTGTGATTTTTTCTGAGTCATCAATTTAATCAAGTTGGAAGCATTTCACTGGAGAGAATTGATTTCCTTGAGGGCAATGGAAAATTCCTATGAGACATCTAATGGTAACGGACCAACTAGTAATGGCCACGTTATAAAGCACTCTCCTTACCAGCAATGTGTTAAGGGCTCTCTACCTTGGCTTGATTTAAGAGTTTTCTATGTTAGAATCAGCAAATGTGAGATTGATGATTCGACGCCTGAGTGCCTCACACTAAATCATCTTCCACTGCATCCCAACACCCTTCTTGAAGTAAATGGTGTTAGAACGAGTATCTATTCTGATGGGGCTTCAACACTACTTAGAAGGGATAGATTGGATAAGAGATCTGAAGAAGTAACATTTGTGAGCACTGATAGTATAAGGATGACAGGAAGTGTGAAGTTTGAGGTTTTTGATAAGGATGTTCTTGTGCTATCTGGGGTTCTAGAATTTTGTAACAGCAATGGGTTTGCTGGGGATCCTGGAAACCATGACCAGAGATGGAGCATGAACTGTGAATCAGAAATGACCTCGGGCACTGGTTTCCTGAAGGCTAAACAATTTATGGGTTCAGACTCTGCTTCACCAGCAATTGAGGTGTATGTTGCAGGGTCCTTCTCTGGCACTCCAATCATTTTAACAAAGACTTTGCAGCTTAGTTCTCGAAAAAAGCAAACAAGGAAGGGGATGTTGGGTTCCATACCAGAGTATGAGGCATATGAATTTGAGAAAGATGGTCCATCTGCGCTTCCTTTGCAGGTACATGTTAGTTTCAAAGTTTAACCTTTAAAGTTGAAGGAAACTCAAGTTTTAAATGCTTAGGATGTTTTTGTCTTCTCTCAATTTTGTAATACATTACTTTTCCATTTTTATAACCCATATATGTCTTGGTACAACCGAAAAGCTTTACTGGCTTGTAACTTTTTTCTTGTTGCAAGAATGATTGATCTCTTTTTCTATGGCTATCTGTATATTTTGTTCCATATACAAATTTGATCAAGTCATGTGTGTTACACATTTGCCTCTACTGGTTTTGTTTAAATAAGCATCCAAAAGTTGATTCTCACCTCTTAAAGAGAAGAAAAACTCTAATGACTCCCTGATTTCTGTTTTAAGGGTTACAGAATTTGGATATGGTCTGGATGTGTATACTGATCCTGTGTATTCATTTTGTCTAGTTTCTTTTTAGATATCCAATTGACACCCAAATTCGATCAACGGATGGTAATTGTTAGAAAAGATATGAAAGATCTTAACCCCAGAATTGTTGTCTATAGTTGCTAGAGAATCCTGTTTCATTTACCACACATTTTGCCTGACAAGATTGCCTTGTGTGGGAGATTAAAAGGTTGAGTTAACTATTATAGCAGTATTTTCTTGTATGGTTATGGAGAATCCATATCGACTCATTTCCACCATTCCGATGATCATGGACATCGCTGTGTGAATTTGATTTATGGTAAAAGAAACACTTCAGAAAGCTCTTCCTCCAAATCCACTTGCATTTTTTATGGGTCCTTTGTCCCATTGCTCTTCGTAGTATCCTTGTTACGGTGAATTTCCTTTTTCACTTTGGAGTTTCTGGGTGAGCTATATTTAACAAACTTATCTATGATTCTGGTGTTCTTTGTAATATACATTTGATATTTGTCTTGGGGAACTGCAGCTGGTCAAGAATCAATTATGCTTTCATTTTGAGATTTTTTTTTTTTCTTATATTGCTGCTCAATCTGCATCTGATTATGCACAAAGAATTCTGCTTTACATATTCTTCATGATTTTTCAGATATCAGAGTACTCAAATCACAAACCAGAAAATGAAGACTACGACCTCCTTTACCGGGGGACTGAATATTTGCATGGTGAATATTTAGAAGGTGAAGATGGGGAACTCTCATGGTTCAATGCAGGTGTGAGGGTGGGTGTTGGCATTGGCCTCAGCATATGTGTGGGAATCGGGTTAGGTGTCGGTTTACTGGTTCAAACCTACCAAGGCACAACCCGAAACTTCAGAAGGCGGCGTCTATAGCAACATCCAATGTTATCATCATCCAAATGGGAAGCTAACATATCGGCGTTTCTGACAGATTGCAGATGATTGATTAGAAGGTCGAAGTTTTTTGTAATTAAGTGCGGTTGAGGCAAGACTTTCCAGTTTTTTTCTTGGTTTTGTTATTCGTGTGGGGGAGCAAGTTTAGTCTTTTTATCTACAAAAATAAAGCATAATTCTATTTCACATGTACTACCTTACAGCAGTTATCTTGCCTGTATATCCTGCACCTATAGTTTTCATAAATGTATAAGTTCATTGCATAGTTGTAGAATCTTGTCAGATGAAGCTGTTATGATTTTGTTTATAAATAGCACAAATTTTGTTTTTTTTGGTATCCATCCGCCGGGGGGTGTGGGGGGTTTGGTGGGGAAGCAATGTCTCCTTTGCATAATATGGATTCCAAACATTCATGATCTGGATGTGAATGAGACTATCTCTCTAGGGATTGTGAAAGATGATCCACTAGAAATATTCTTGTTATTGCATCGACTCGTATTCCCCAAAAAGTGGATCCCGCTCTGATAGCCTCGAATAAATTAAATACATGCATTAAGATACGAAGGCTTCTTATTCCACAACAACGAAAGCACTTTTTCACTCTTTCATATACTATGGGATTTCACTTGGAAAAGAAAATGTTTCACACTAATGGATTCAGGAAGGTAATGGTCAAGTAAGTCTCCAGTGATTATCCCTTATTAATAGTCGTGGAGATTCGAACTCATGATCTCTTGAGTAATATACTCAAAAGTCTTAAGCGAATCGTCAAGCTATCTAGAAGTCTAGTTAGTAAATTCG